AGCATGTAGCATACATGCACACACACAAAAAAATCGGCTTTTTTCGGACTCGGGTCTAATGGATATATCAGTATTTCCAATATTCCCGAATCCCAATATCAGTACAATTTGGGTAAATAATCGGGAAACCCGAATTTATTTGGCATTTAAAAATGCCTTCCCTTCACTTGTGGAGTCATGCCACCATGTGGCACACCCCCATGAGTGAAGGGAAGTCAAGTGCCTTCTCCCTTAATTTGCAGAGTAGTGCCGTCGTGGCAGCATGCCTCCACGAGTGAAAGGAATGTCTTCTCCAAGCCACAGTGCTGTTGCTGCAGCGGTGCAACTCAGCAATATAGCTGGCCCGAATAAAAGCTGAATAATATCAGATTTTATTTGGACCACCTATATCGGTAGCTTAATCAGATTGTCTAATCTGCATTTGGTTGAATAAATACCCAAACAATACCGATACGGTATTTTTCGGATAGTTACTCGGTTCCCTGGTAGTAAGTGTAAACACATGGGGCTCTTTGTATCTGTGAATAAGAACCCTTGAAAAGCAGGGTTCCTGGGAGTAAGGATGGAGTAACATGCAAGCAGGTTCTACTTCTACTTTCAGTGGAGCATGTGTAAATGGTGGGGGAAGGGATGGTAGTACAGGGCAATTATGCCCTCTCATCTGTGTACACTGTCTGTACATGGATATGCTGTGAAGTGTACAGGGCATCCAGCACCCCCTGAACATGACCGGTAGGATTGAGACTGGTGCTTGAGTTACAGTGGAATGGGGGTGAACCCAACCCCTTACCTCTAGTGGTGGGTGACCACTATTGGTCAAGAAGGACCAAGCCTCCCCCTTCCCATCCCTGATTCTCATGCCTAGGTCTCTCTGCCACAACTCCCTGTGACTGCCTTACAAAGGCAGCCTGGTCTCCCGACCTGTACGTTTCGATACGATTGCTGTCTTCAGCTCCACCCACTTTATGATTCCAATCCGGATTTCTTTTTAGCTTCCTGGCTCCCCATTTGCTCTTCCCGCCCCGCCCCCCCTCCGCTGCTGCCCATCGAAGTCTATAACAGGTCGATAAGGCATAAAAATAAACACATCTGAGATATCGATGGGATGGAACGTGTCATCAAATGTACAGATTTTTAGAATCCAGAACTTGAAAGGATAAAGTCATGGAACTCTTTTCAAAATTCTTCTTCCCTTTGTTAAACGCCTACCTCCTTTTTTCTACAACTGAATTAATTTCATATGGGTGATCTGTACTGCTCTGTGTAGGAACAGAGCAGAGGTCCATCAGTGGCTATTAGCCACAAGGTATAGATAGGGACTCTGGGGCAGGTGATGCTCTGTCTTCTTGGTGCTTGGGGGGGGGTCAACAGTGGGAGGGCTTCTAGTGTCCTGGCCCCACTGGTGGACCTCCTGATGGCACTGGTATTTCTGGCCACTGTGTGACACAGAGTGTTGGACTGGATGGGCCTTTGGTCTGATCAAACATTGGCATCTCTTATGTTCTTATGTTTAACATGGGATGAGGTGGTGGTTTGGAGGACCACTGAGGGAAGCAAAACTGAGAAGGACTTGGAGGTGGGAGTTGGTGGATTTCCTTAAGGGTCTCCTACTTTTCCTTGGCCCTGACCTGGATGGCCCAGGCTAGCCCAATTTTCTCAGCTCTCGGAAGCTAAGCAGGGCCAGCCGTGGTTAGTACTTGGATGGGAGTCTACCAAGGAAGCCCAGGGTTGCGCCACAGAGGCAGACAATGGCAAACAACCTCTGAACGTCTCTTCCTTTAAAAACCCTACAGGGTCACCCTATGTCAGCCGTGACTCGACGGCACTTTCCACCACTACCTTTCCCTCATAATTGTTTTTGTATTTTTAAAAATAATTTTCATATAATGTCATAATTTGAATTGTATTTTTATGCCTTGGTGTAAGCTGCCCAGAGCCTGCCTTGATACGGAGGGCGGGGTATAAATTGAATAAAATAAATAATCTGAGCAATGTTCTGGAGTGGAAATCGGATTTACTTCACACTGTGCTTAATTCTAAAATTCACTAGTGCAAAGTGCAGTGATGGCCACTAGATGGCCTTTTAAAAATTAGACACATTCGTAGAAAGTTTCAAAAATTAGGGATGATTGAATCTCCGAGCTCCATCCAAGTTAGGATACTATTTCCCTCCACTTTCAAGGATTTGCTTCATGAGCAGCGTTTGCAAACCCTGCAGAAACCCAGAAGCATAGTGCTAGCTTCCCAGCCGGGAGACCAATGGTCGCCCGGTTACTGTAAATAGCCTATCGGGAGTAGGGGGTGTGTTTAGGTATGCTTGGTGGCGGGTTTTCTGAACATATATAAACCGGCCTGCGAGCCGGTCAGTTGTCTTTGTCCTGAACTAAATAAAGGTATGCTTAGCTGAAATCACTCTCCGTCTGCATACTTTTCACAAACCCTGCAGAAACCCAGAAGCATAGTGAGAATAGTCCACCCCTACACTCTGGCTGGGGAAACAAATGTTTAAAGTATCACAAGAACGTACGTCTGCATTCATACAGCTTAGGGACCATAGAAAAAGCAGTCCATGACCTGGCTAAGGTTCCCTGTTGTCTACCAGGCCAAAAAAAAACCCTAAGAAATTTGCTAACTTAAATTTTATTACGATCCTCGATCAGCCAGCGATGACATAACCCACAGATTCAACAGCACATAAAAGTAATATGTACATACAATAAAAATTCATAGCCTTGTGAAAACTAATTTACACGATACGGTGGGGACAAGATGGCGGGCAGATGAACAGCTTCAGCTAGCTGCTCTGTGGTTTTTTTAGGGTCCTTATAAGGGAGGCCGAGGGCCAAAGAATAGATTCTTTTGAACTATGGTGCTGGAGAAGACTCTTGAGAGTCCCTTGGACTGCAAGAAGATCAAATCAGTCAATCCTAAAAGAAATCAACCCTGACTGTTCCCTGGAAGGCCAGATAATGAAACTGAAGCTCAAATACTTTGGCCACCCAATGAGAAGTGAGCCCTCATTGGAGAAGACCCTGATGCTGGGAAAGATTGAAGCTCAAAGACGACGGGGACAGCAAAGGATGAGATAGTTAGACAGTGTACAGGATGCAACGAACATGAAATTGAGCAAACTTCAGAGGACAGCGGAAGACAGGAAGGCCTGGCGTGATGTGGCCCATGGGGTCGCAAAGAGTCGGACTCGACTGTGCGACTGTAACAACAACAACAACAAGTTTTTAAAAGCATATTTTAATTGACTGGGTTACCTTATCTGTGTTGGACTCCTGGATATTTGAATTAATTGGATTATCTGTATTTTTACACTTCAGACGCCAGCTGGACTGCCTACCTATGTTGCTGAATTTCACAGCTGCTTATATGAGATACTGGCAAGCCAGGATCCTCCTCCCAAAGAAGCAGATGATAGCGTTTAATTACAGACGCCAAATAGGGGGAAGAAGAAAAAACAAGCTAGACAGAATCCAGATTGATACTCTCCATTAAAATCTTCCAGACAGCTAAGCACTGACGACCCACTAATGGAAGAACTAGTAAGTGAAATTTCTACCTCCTTCTCCCCTCATAATTACAAGGTTCTGGAATTAGATGAGGAACCACTTATCCAATTATACCCTGACCACCCTTTCTCATTTTAGGAAGGATGAGAGAATGGACTGAAGAAATTTGTTTCCTGAGGTCTCTGGCTACATGTTGTCATAATTAAAGAATCTCTGGAAAAGCACATCCAAAAGTTCACTGCGCTTTTGTAACACTGGCAATTCTGGTAAGGTGACAGTTATAGACTCATATTAGAGCATCGCACAGCTGTGAGTCACTGATGCAGCATTAAGAGTGTAGCATGTAATTACGTAAATCTCACAATACAAGAACTCGTGGGCACTCAATGAAATTGCTGAGCAGTCGGGTTAGAACGGATAAAAGGAAGTACTTCTTCACCTAAAGAGTGATTAACACATGGAATTTACTGCCACAGGAAGTGGCGGCTACAAGCATGGACGGCTTCAAAAGGGAATTAGATAAGCATATGGAGCAAAGGTCCATCAGTGGCTATTAGCCACAAGGTATAGATAGGGACTCTGGGGCAAGTGATGCTCTGTCTTCTTGGTGCCTGGGGGGGGGGCAACAGTGGGAGGGCTTCTAATGTCCTGGCCCCACTGGTGGACCTCCTGATGGCACCTCGTATTTCTGGCCACTGTGTGACACAGAGTGTTGGACTGGATGGGCCTTTGGCCTGATCCAACATTGGCGTCTCTTATGTTCTTATTTAATACACATAATGGATTCTGGGTAAGATGCCTAAAATGTGAAAAGTACAGAGCCATGAAATTGAAAATACAAAGCAAAAACAGGAGTCCATGGAGAACACAGGGGAACTTTTTATTAAAAACCCATGGTTGTGTGCTTCATTGATACGTGTCTCCAGAGAGGCAGAATAAAAAATGGGTAAAAACCGCAGTTTGAACTTGGTCAGTGCTCATGGAAAGTCCCGTGGATTGAGATCTGATCTGATCTGATAAACAGTCCAGGAAAGGCGGGGGGGGGGGGGGGGAAAGCGGGGGGCAGCCTAATGTGGTGCCCACCGCCTCATCTGATCTGAGAAACAGTCCAGGGAAGAGGGGGGGGGGGAGATGCTGATTCAATCACAGAACTGGATGTAACGGAATTCACATGCTGGAGACAGTAAACAGGGAAGGGCCATTAATCGGATGGCTTCTTTGTGAATTTCCAAAGGTCAGTGTCCTGAAATAAGTATGATAGATTTGTCAGAGGGTTTTTTTTCCCTATCTGCATTTTGCAACATATACTGGCATAAGTTAAAGACATAAACTGAATGAGAAACTTCTGGCTACAGAATTTATTATGTTTGCATGTATCGGGCACCAGTGAATGAATCAGGTGTTTGAGAGCTCCTTCTAAAGAAACCAGTTATCATTACTCATATTCTATCACAAATACAAAATTCCTTGGATTCGATTTACCTTTTCACCTTTTTCTCCGTAAAAGCCAAGACCTCTGTTGCCCTGAAATGACAATTAATTAGCATTTAGCTAATATATTGTATTCATGTTTAACATTCTCAGACTGATGGTGTGGGCAACCCAATTAAAACCTAGGAGCTGAGTTGAGTTCTTTCTTTGCAATGTCACAACTTGTAAGTATATATAACCATTCTACTGCCAATTAAACTATTCTGGCATGGCATTTGGGATATAATTAAACATCACCTATATGAGGCAGCTTGGTGATTTTCTTAATACTTTAAAAATAATCCATTCTCAGGCCACTTTCTCATGGGAAGAGGGTAGAATGTTCACTTGAGTTAAAGGTAAAGGTTCCCTTGCTCGAAAGCCAGTCGAATCCGACTCTAGGGTTGCGGTGCTCATCTCTGTTTCAAAGCCGAAGAGCCAGCGCTGTCCGAAGTCGTTTCCGTGGTCATGTGGCCGGCATGACTAAACACCAAGGTGCACGGAACACTGTTACCT